ACTCAAGACCAACGTACTTCCCAGCGAGATTGAAAAGTTTTAACAAAAAGAGTCATATCGACAGTCACCACTTGCAAATGCAATGTATGATGCCGAACAGTGAATGCAAGAATTTATGGAGAGCGCCACAGCTTTCTGTGGTGGAAAAAGCAAGCTTTACTCTGATCAACTAAATCGGTTTCTATCGTTCAAAAATAAGAGGGCTCACTCTTCTCCTGGAATTCCTGAAACCTCTACTCAAAGTATCCCACAAACGCCTGCAGAGATGCCACAACCCAATGCATCTGTTGAGATAACACCACCAGTACCTGCTACTCCTAAACCGAATTTCCTTACACTGCCACCAACAAAAGAGGAACGACCAAAACTCAAGCGCAACTTTTTCCACATTTGGATCGATCCAGCAGATTGGACAGAACGTAACTTAGCACGAATGACTCCTGAAGCAAGAGAGGATTATGAACGTTTCATATTAAGCGACAGACCAAAATTTATTCCAATGAAGCCGGAGAAACTTGCAAAGTTATCCCCAGAAGATAGACAAGAATATGAGAACTCTTTAAAAATAACAAAAACGCCTAGACGTTACGCTCTTAGAAGTAGACCGTACTAAATTTTGTAAAACGTTTTGAAGAAATGAATGTGTTTTAATCTAAATTCTTGTGTAAATTTTTGCCAGAAAAGCCACGCGCCCGATTTTAAGGCATATACTTGCGTTATAAATAATATTTTAACGACTGACAATGACATTGGCAGCACACAATTTCGATATCAGCAAGATAAAATTTCGATATATCCCGCACACAACCAATAACTCTGTGTTCGTATTTTTTCTGTTTCAAGTTCGCTTGCTAAAATACGGACAACACGAGGTGGGCGGTTTAATGTCTTTTTAATAAATCCATTGAAAAAGGCGTATTTCCTGATGAACTAAGATCCCTATACATAAAGGAGATAGCAAACTAGAATGTTGTAACTACAGACCAATATCTATGACTATCAGTGACCATTATATAATTTACGGGGTACGAAAATTTCCATCTTTGAAAGCAAACACAAGAATAATAGAATTTCGAGATTTTAAAAATTTGAACGAACGTGCATTCTTAGACGGCATAAGATCAATTGGCACATTGAACCTTCACCAATACGCAAGTGCAAATGAAATGTGGCTTGTTTGAAAAGAAAATTTTACGAAAATTTGTGACAAGCATGCTCCAATAAAAAGACGTAAAATGCGAGATAAAATGGGAAAATTAGGAACAATTATAACAAACTCATCAAGAATACAACAAAAAGCCATTTTCAGTCTAATGATATTCAAACTAACAAAAGAAATTTGAAGAAAACTTGGAAAAGCATAAATCAATGCCTCAACATAAATCCTAAATCTAATAAAGTAGTGCTTATTAAAGACACCAACGAGCAAGATATTAAATCCGAACATATGGCTAATGCATTTAACGAACAATTTATTAATATTGGTAGTAACCTGGCTCAACTAATACCTCAAACTAATTATCCACCTGAGTTTTACATTAACAGTGTGGACAAAATATTCACTCTTCGAGAAATAACTAAAGAAGATGTACTTACACTCTTACTAAACATGTCAACCAATAAAACAACTGGTATGGATAGTCTATCTATTAAACTAGTGAAGATGTCAGCTCCTTTAATAACACACAAAATCAACGCTTTTTGGGGTTCATTATGACCACAAATGGGAGCCAAATTAACTCCTCGAAATGCCAAAATAGCCCCCTAATTTTCTGAATTGGCCCCTATTGAAAGTTGAAATAGCCCCTGCTTTTGCCAAAACAGCTCCTACTAAAAGCTGAAACAGCCCTTACACTGGAAGGGCCAAATCACCCCTAGCATTGTTATAGGTGCCATTTTGACCCCAAAAAAGATCTATTTTGCGGTCACCGTTTTGGCCCCATTTTTGGGGTCGTTTCAGCCCTTTTTAATTTACAGTGTATATATATATATATATATATATATATATATATATATATATATATATATATATATATATATATATATATATATATATATATATATATACCCAACCATTAAACACATGTCCGGATGGACTAAAAAGTTCTTGTCATTCGTACAAACTGTTAGGCTGTTGAAGGCTTGAAGCTTGTCAAGACATCCAATTTCGGAAGTCGAAGAGTGGTTCGAAATATCCCAGTTTCCTGACGACATTTCGCTGTACTTTAAGCGGTATACCATTAATACCAATAGTGTTTATAATGCTGTTTTGTGTACGTTCGTTATTGTATTGTTTAGGCTCTAGTTCACATATTAACCCGTTCTTTGAAGCTTCTCCGTTTCACCGTTTGTTTCCTAACGCAAGGCGGCCAGGCATGCTTTATAAATGCTATTTGTAGGTGAATTGGAGAAGGAAAGGTCGTCTAACTCCTTATGTACAGTGTCCTTGCTGTCCAAGAAATTAATATCGCTTTTATTCGACGAGACTTTGAAGTAAAGAACACATTTGTATTGCACAAAGCCCGCCAGGGAACATTTTAATAAGCGCCAAATGAAAATTTACATTCACGCACACTTCAGAAATTTGAATAAATTGAAGTTAATTTACCCAAAACGTAAATCGAATATGACGTAGGCCGGGCAAGCTTTTCTTCGTTTATTCGTAGACCCCTCACGAGACGTGTTTCTGCTGGGGTGCACACCGTAGGCTATGTTTGGACTAACTGCAGCGAATATCTGCCCGACAAAATGCAGAAAATGCAAAACGGGGCTGCAAGGGTCATCACTGCCAGACCATATGAAATAACAACAAAAGAATTATTTAAGGAATTAAATTGGCAACCATTAGCCGATCGATGGGAAAAAATTTTTGTTAGTGTTTATGTATAAAGTGAAAAATAGTGAGCTACCAGAAAGTGTGAACCAATTGTTCGAAGTCACTAATAATCAAAACTACAATTTACGCAGCAAGGGTAATGATTTCCTTTTACAAAACCCAAAAACAAATTACATGAAAAAAAGAATCAGTTGTAGTGGAGCAATAGCGTGGAACAATTTGTCAAATAATGTAAAAGCAACAAGTATGTGAATTGGCCAATTTAAGGCTGCTGTCGACCACAAATAATACGTGATTCTCTTCTGTAAGTATGTTTCTATATTTGATGTATTTCCTGTGTGTTGGTAGTAAAAGACCCCCATATGGCGGCGGAAGTAATTAGTATGCAAAATTTATGACGTCACTTTACTCGGCAAGACTGGGCCAATTGTGACAGGTAACGCGTCCAATTAACGCGGGCAAGCCTGGACCAGATCCGACAGGTAACGCGACCAATTAGCATCACAACTAGTTTCTGACAGATTTGTAATAAAACGACAAGAGGTTTCTAATAGTTTGCGTGTATAGAAGTATGAAATAGAAGTTAGTTTTTAAAATCTACGGTTAGCTCAGTTGGTAGAGCAAAGGACTGTAGTTATTACCAAATCGGTACATGTAGCACGCTATGAGTCCCTACCTCTCTCTTATTTTCAACAGGCAATCGAAATTCGTTTTAATTATTTTAATGAATTTGATGGCTCTTAGGGGCTGTTTATATGAGGCTATCTAAGGGGCTGTTTATATGAGGCGAGCCAGCTCGGGTACCCGAGCTGGCTCGCTTTAGGCAGGATCCCGTCTTTGTTAATATTTCCTACTAAATTTCATGTTGCGTTTATATGAGAACCGAGCTGGCCCGCCTAACCGAGGTCCCGCTTCGTGTGACCCGAGACCTCGGGTAAACGAACTGGGTAGTTTTCCATATAAACGCAACAGGGAGGGCTAGCCCTCCTAGTAGGGCTGGAAATTCAGAAAATACGCATGCGCAAATAATTAACATAATTCAGAATGCACAAACAACTCCCATATAAGGAACCAACTACCATATATGGAGTTGTTTACGCCAAAAAAAATAAGAACACGAAGAGCCAGCCATTGATGTAAGTTTCATGTAAACGCGTGGTGAAATTCATCTCGGGGATGCGAGCCAGCTCGGGTACCCGGGCTGGCTCGCTTCCATATAAACAGCCCCTTAAAGTGCATATGACATGAAATGTTTTATTTTCTAAAAGGAAAGAATTCTTTAAGCTGTAGTGTAACTTATTTTTCAGTTTCTTGTTTTTATCGTTTGTTCCCGAGATATTTCAATTTGTTTAGTATGTAAATGAGTGTGAATATGTCCGCTAATTTATGACGTCACGTTGGTTGCAAGTTCTTCAAAATGGTTGAATATCAGGGCTATCATCCACGATAATAATAACTTCACTCACCTGTAAATGTGATAAAATACTGAAGAAAAACGTGAACTGACACATACAGTTTTCAGAGTTAATAGATTTATAACCAGTGTAAGTTGAGCTTGCAACCAACATGGCGTCATAAATTAGCGGACATATTCACACTCATTTACATACCAAACAAATTGAAATATCTCGAGAACAAACAATGAAAACAAGAAACTGAAAAATAAGTTACACTACAGCTTAATCAAAGAGTTTTCTCATTTAAGAAAATAAAAAATTCATGTCATATGCATTTTAAAGGAGCCGTTTTGAGCAATAAATTTCCAACCAGAAATAAAAAGTCGCAACATATTTTAAACCGAACTAAGCAATTGCTAAGTTAACATGAAAGAGCTGATAGATCCTCAAAAACATTACCGATTGATAAACACCATGCAGGGGGTATAATTGTATACATTGAAGAAAACATTCCATATTTACGTAGAACTGACCTTGAGTCTAATAATATTGAATCAGTTTGGTTGCAACTCTCTCCTCCCAATAGACCTGCTCACCTTATCTGTGTAGCCTATAGATGTTCCGAATACACTGTATCTGAGTGGATAAAATATTTTGAAATTCAAGTAAACAATGCATATGTAGAAGGTCATCAACTGACGGTTACAGGAGATTTCAACATTGATCTCTTGAACAATACCAGCAACTCGCAACTTTGGCTAGAAACCATGAATGACTTCAACCTTCTTCAAATCATCACAGAACCAACACGAGTTACTGACAACACATCAACACTTTTAGATCACCTTTTTACATCAGCCCCGCATAGAATACTAAGCAGTAAAATTCCAAAAATCGGACTAAGTGACCATTACCCGACCTGTACTGTATTTAAAGACAGCTTTGGTAGAAAGCATTCACACAATACCATTAGATATCGTTGCTATAAAAACTTTGATGAAGAAATATTTTGCAAAGATTTAGCTCAAATCCCATGGGATATTATTGATGTGTTTGATGATGTTGATGATGCTTTGGACGCGTGGTACAACCTATATCTTGAAGTGGTTGATAAACATTTATCTTGGCGAGAAAAACGAGTAAAATGTCAGAGACAACCTGACTGGATGACAAATGAAGCCATGCAATGTATAGCACTGAGGAACCATTTTAAATCGTTGAATGATATGGGAAATTAAAAAACCCTCCGGAATCGTTGTGTCTCGTTGATTAGGAATGCCAAGACAAACCACTATCAAACTTGCATTGAAAGTAATAAAGGTGACTAGAAGAAATTGTGGCAATATTTACGTGACGTAATTCCAACAAAGGTTAAATCTACTCCGTCAAGTTTGCGAGATGACTCAGATCAATCTACTATCACGGATGCTAAAGGTATGTGTGAACATTTTAACAACTATTTCTCCACCATTGTAATCCAATACATTGAAAATCAAAATCATTCAGCTAACTTTGATAAATTAACGGAGATGGTAAACTCAAATGTTAACGATGACGTAGCTTTCAGTATTCCACCAATAACTGACGAGGAAGTCTATAGTCATTTGCTTAACTTTGAAACACACAAAGCAACTGGACTGGACGGATTAAGCCACAAGATTTTAAAGATTTCAGCAAATTTCATAACCCCATCATTAACAAAAGTATTTAACAATAGTTTGTCAGCTGGCGTATTTCCAACGATATGGAAAGCATCAAAGATCATCCCAGTTCATAAAGCTGGTCCTTTATCTGATGTCCATAACTTCAGACCCATAGCAATACTTTGTGCTGTCAGCAAAATACTGGAACGTCACTTTTACAACCATTTTTAAGAGTTCCTCGTGAGTCATAACTTATTACACCATACCCAGTCCGGTTTTCGGAGAAACCATTCATGTGAAACAGCGTTAAGCAAACTTATTAATATGTTGACGGTAAATATGGAGAACGGTCTTATAAATGGGATTGTATTTATTGACCTAAGAAAGGCATTTGACATGGTGGACACAGACTTGTTACTACGAAAACTTACTATTTACAAATGTGATTTTTTGACATTGTCGTGGTTTAAGTCATACTTGCAATGTAGAGAACAATGCGTGCAATTCAAAGGTAATTTGTCATCTTCAATGCCTAGCCTCCAAGGTGTGCCACAAGGAAGTATTTTGGGTCCACTATTATTTATTGCATTTATCAATGATCTTCCATTATATGTCAATTCCAACACAGATATGTATGCTGACGACTCAACAATATATTCTAGTGCTAAAACAATTGAAGAACTAAATGTTAAACTAACTCATGATATGTGTAATGTTCATACGTGGTGCAGCAATAACAACATGGTAATTAATAACAGTAAAACTAAAGCAATGGTTATGACAAGTTACCAGCGTGCTGCTACGTTAAATTCAAATCTACACGTTCAGTTTAATGGAATGAAGCTAACAAACACTGAGAATGAAAAATTGCTTGGAATTATTGTCAATAACAACTTATGTTGGAAACTACAGATTGATAAAGTAGCAAGGTCGCTAAACAAGGGAATACATCTGTTAAGACAAATAAAGGAATATTTGCCAATACGTTACAGAGTTCTTTACTATAAATGTTTTTTACAAACTCACATCGACTATTGTTCGACAGTTTGGGGTCAATCGACTGACGTAACAAGAATACACAAGCTTCAAAAATTGCAATGAGAATTGTTTATGATCAACCAAGACTAACATCATCTGGACCACTATTTAAAGCAGCTAAAGTATTGCCTATACAGCAAAGAGTCAAGCTACGAACCGCGATTATGGTATTCAAGGCTTGAAACCAATTGGTACCGGAATACATTTGTGACTTATTTCAACTGAAGTCATCAGTGACTAATCGAGTCACCAGAAGTTCTGCGGACAATGATTTGTGGGTACCAAGGAATAAATTGGCAATCAGACGAAAGGTACTACCATACAGTGGTGCAACAGTTTACAATAGTTTACCACTTGAGATAAGAAACTCTTCTTCGGTTGCATCATTCAAAATAAGAACATATCAATACTTTTTAGAAACAGTTTAAACGTAGTCATATGTAATCTATAATCTATTGTATATATACCATATATCTTCTTCCCCACGTTACCTAATATATTTGTTTGTTTGTTAATAGTCGTAGTTATAGAAGGCCCAGTGTAAGATTAGCTTTGCTAAACTGCTTTTTGTAATACCTTCTTTAAATAAAGTCTATTATTATTATTATTATTATTATTATTTTTTTCATGGTTGTCAACGCCGTTGTTATGATCGCTACTTGCATATTACACAGTCATTAAAAAGACATTAACCCGTCCACCACATGTTGTCCGTATTTTAGCAAGCGAACGTGAAACAGAAAGATGAGGTATATTTATTCCGTTTGTTATATTATGGGTCATGAATATTAAGATTAAAGTTCTAACCATTTAGGCTATGGTCATGACTATCAGGACTATAGTCATGACTTTCAAGACTATAGTCAAGACTATAATCGTGACTATCAAGACTATAGTCAAGACTATAGTCATGACTATCAAGACTGACTATGGTCATGACTATGAAGACTATAGTCATGACTATTAAGACTATAGTCATGACCATCAAGTCTATAGTCAAGACTATAGTCATGACTACTAAGAATATAGTCATGACTATTAAGACTATAGTCATGACTATCAAGATTATATTCAAGACTATAGTCATGACTGTTAAGACTATAGTCATGACTATGAAGACTATAGTCATGATTATTAAGTATATAGTCATGACTATTAAGTATATAGTCATGACTATCACGACTATAGCCAAGACTATAGTCATGACTGTCAACACTATAGTCAAGACTGTCATGACTACTAAAAATATAGTCATGACTGTTAAGACTATAGTCAAGACTATCAAGACTATAGTCAAGACTACAGTCATGATTATCAAGCCTGTAGTCAAGACCATTGTCATGACTATTAAGAATGCAGTCATGACTGTTAAGACTATAGTCATGACTATGAAGACTAAAGTCATGACTATTAAGATTATAGTCATGACAATCACGACTATAGTCAAGACTATAGTCATGACAATTAAGACTATAGTCATGACTGTTAAGACTATAGTCATGTTTATCAAGACTATAGTCATGACTATTAAAGTGCCTATGTCGTGATTTGTGTAATTTATTACTTTTTTATCTTTGGTGCATTTTGTGAAGAAATGCAATACATCCTTATAAGAAAATATTCCATTTTCACAGGATTATCACGCCTCAAAATTTACCGGATATGACATCAAATCGGGAATTTTATACGCTAGAAGCAAAAAATTCTAATTTGTAATTCCCAGTTTGATGTCATATCAGGTAAATTTTAGGCGTGATAATCCTGTGAAGTTGGAATATTTTCTTATAAAGATGTATTGCATTTCTTCATAAAATGCACCAAAGATAAAAAATAATCTAATCACGATACTACTAATCACACTAATCACGATATAGGCACTTTAATAGTCATAACTATAGTCTTCATAGTTATAACTATAGTCTTAACAGTCATGACTATAGTCTTAATAGTCATGACTATAGTCTTAACAGTCATGACTATAGTCTTAATAGTCATGACTATAGTCTTGACTATAGTCTTGATAGACTTGCCTATAGTCTTGATAGTCATGACTATAGAATTAATAGTCATGACTAAAGTCTTGATGGTCATGACTATAGCCTTAATAGTCCCGACTATAGTCCTTATGGTCATGACTATAGCTTAAATCTTTACACTGCACGAAAAATTGGATTTATCACTATAGGAAACACAGAATAAACTTGTAGATAATGCCGCTTTTGTTCATATTTATGAGCAAATGCGGAATTATCTACAAGTTTATTTTGTGTTTCTTATAGTGGTAAACCCAATTTTTCGTGCAGTGGTAGAACTTAAAGGACAATGGAAACATTTTTTTTTAATCTCGACATCTATTAAACATACCTACGGAATACTTAATTACGTATTTTCACTTGTCTATCGCGTTTATTTGTTCAGAAATATCATAAAACTTTAGACAGTCGTCCGCCATCTTGAAAAAGACCTGGTATGCTAATTTACGTGAGAATAAATTTGTGACGTCAAGAGCAGGGGAAACAAATATTGTCAATATAAAATAGTATGCTAAGATAATAGGACAATTGCAAATTATAATAACATTTGTTGTAGGAAATTGGGGTTGGATGCTGCCCATTATAATAAATCTGATTGCATCGGAGGAATTAGAGCATGTTCAACCTTGGATTTTGACTCAGCCTTGTTTTAATACTAGACAGAAATGGCAGTCCTGTCTTTTTATGAAACACTTATTAAACAAAAAAATTCAGCCAAAGGGTTGAGTTCAAAAACGAGGTTAAAATTAAATTTCAAACCTCTTTCGAGCACCCGCGAGGCCGAGGGTTACTTTATTGAACAAATTCCAACGCTCTCAACAGTAAACAAGTTTATCCCCAGGCTTGAAAATGCTTCATGTAATCGTACTAGAGTTATTATTAAAAGAGCATAGACTTAGCCAAATTTAAATAAATGAACATTCAAAAATCTCAAGGCCCCAAACCGCTCTCGAATGCACAATTCCCATTATAGAGTAATTTTAAAACTAGGCAAGGAGATGCAAATAAATCACCACAGCTAGAATGAGCATACTAAAATGAGTAACATTGCAAAGCTTGGTTGCAAAATGTTGTAAAATGCGGAAAACATAGCAAATTTTGAATACTTTTGTATTGCGTGCGGAAATTGCTACAACGTTTGGGCCGAAAATGTAGCAATTTCCGGACGCAGTACAAAAGTATGCAAAATTTGCGAACTTTGCAAGGCTATATGTTCCGCATTTTACAACATTTCGCAACTAAACTCTGCAATGTTACTCATTTTAGTATGCTCTTTCTAGCTGTGGTGATTTATTTGCATCTCCTTACCTAGTTTTAAAATTACTCTATAATGGGAATTGTCTATTATTGTGTAAACACACGCAGGAAGTGGCCTTCTGTTCTTATTCCCCAAAATCTGAAATACCCAACGCGAACATCTTTGGTGAACTACTAGTCTATAAATTTTGTGTATCTTGCCCAAATCTTTGTCATCCAGAGCCAGTTTAATATCTTCAAGATAGCGTCAAACGTCTATTTAATAGCCTTTCCGACTGCATGTTCGCTTTGAATTCTGCATGTGTTGACAGTGTTGTAAAGGCAGTCAAGCACTTCTCCCCTTGTGTTTCAGCCTCCTTCAATCATACATCTTATTCATCGTATTCTAACGCTTTATCGTGGCAACAAAACCATTCATTATCCTAACGCTTTATCGTGGCAACAAAACCATTCATTATCCTTATATGCGCAATGCGCCAAGCATTTTCGACCTCAAACACATGGTTATTTCCTCGGCAGACGATTTACTCTGTTGGGCCTCTCTTTCGATATCAGCAAGATAAAATTTCGATATATCTCGCACACAAAAAACTCGACAGCTCAGTTGGCAGAGCATTGAGCTAGTATTCCAAAGGTCGTAGGTTCGATTCGCACAGTGCCCAGGAATATATTTCAGGCCTGCCCGGCATGGATTCATACTCAGAGTAACATCACAAGCATCTTATTCAACTTGAGTACACTACACCAACACAGCAAAATATCATGATTATTAGATTACACTGATATTGAAAGAACTACACTCAGTTCCGAAATATCGCATACTCGAACCGACCTGACCGCGTAGCTCAGTTGCCAGAGCATTGGGCTAGTATTCCAAAGGTCGTAGGTTCGATTCCCACCGTGGCCCGGCATATTTTTCAAACTCAGACTCACACTCAGAGTAACACCACAAGCATCTTATTCACCTGAGTACACTACACCAACACAGCAAAACACAATAACTCTCTGTTCGTATTCTTTCTGTTTCAAGTTCGCTTGCTAAAATACGGACAAGATGAGGTGCACGGGTTAATGTCCTTTTAATGACTGTGTAATATGCAAATAGCGATCATAACAACGGCGTGGACAACCATGTTAACTTAGCAACTGCTTAGTTCGTTTTAAAATATGTTGCGACTTTTTATTTCTGGTTGGAAACTTATTGCTCAAAACGGCTCCTTTAAGAGCCATCAAATTCCTTAAAATAATTCAAACGAATTTCGATTGCGTGTTGAAATAAGAGAGGGATTGGGACTCACAGCGTGCTAAATGGTTGTAAGGCAAAACATTTTCTACCGTACCGGGGTCGAACTGGTGACCTAAGGATTACTGACTTGGTAATAACTACAGTCCTTTGCTCTACCAACTGAGCTAACCGTAGATTTTAAAAACTAACTTCTATTTCATACTTTTATACATGCAAACTATCAGAAACCTCTTGTCGTTTTATTACAAATTTGTCAGACACTAGTTGTGATGCTAATTGGTCGCGTTACCTGTCACATTTGGCCCAGGCTTGCTGAACAAAGTGACGTCATAGATTTTGCATACTAATTACTTCCGCTTTTATGGAGGTCTTTTACTTCTTGTGTTGAGGTGTTGTCGCTTTTAAATAAGAGTTAATAAGTAATACTAAATATAAATAAATATCGTCGTTATCCTAAAACTAATATTTTCATTTAAATGTTCGAGGAAGATTAAAATTTTCACAAAAGCCTTTTTCTCGGTACCCTTGGCTTCTCCTCCAAAACCTTCTCTTCGTAAAGCTTCACCTGAACGGAAACGGTCTTGTCGGACAGGTAAACGCTGCCCACCTTAACGACTGCGTCAAGGCGAAATCGCGTGTCATGATATTTCCGGTGGTTCACTGGCTCGTCTCCATCCGCCTGGTAAATTTCGACCTCGCTTGTCGATGTTAGGATACAGGGTTGCGTTTTTACCTCCGCTGTAAAGACATCGCATGATGTTGTTGTCCGGCTTTCCTACACAGCGGCCGCATTTCCTCTCCACCAACTCCAGGGCAGACACTAGCTCTTCCTTCCCTTCCAGAGCGATGGGAATGGTTTAGCTGACCCTTCTGAATTTATCATTCTTGTTCACTCCATAGGACTGGCAATCCTCAATCTTCAGTAATAGTGAACCTTGGTTCGATGCCGTTATCTTGTACTTCTTGGATCCGTATTTGTTCTTGACGGCATCTTCGACAACGAACGGATATTTGGGAAAATGAGTTACATCGTTAATAGACATGTTTTATTATACGTAAAAAAAACTTTGATTAAAAATATTGATCTACTTTCTAAAATACTCGAAATTGTGTTTCATGTGTTAAGACCAAAACTTCTTGGGAATCCCCTTTAGCAGTGCCCACTCCCTACAGTCGCGGCACTGTTTGTCAAAAATCGTTGCCTTCGGTTTCCTCTGTCAGTCCAAAACGTACTTTGTCGAGCCGGAATAATGTTCGAACATGTTTTCCCTGTTTTCCATGGGTTTTGTTTAATCATTAAAAACTTTGTCCATAAAATTTAGTCACCATCCTGGCTATTGCTAGACACGTAGTCCCTTGCCATGCACAATTCACAACTTCCACCGGTTTTCCCAAACAAATCAGATCAAAGTGCGGCGGGTTGGAAACGACAACACATGACAGAAAGTTCACGTCAAATTCCTTCGGTATGGTTACGCGAATGTTAATCCTACCCGTAATATCGACGTCCTCATCCCGAACAAGACAACGATGGGTAAAACCACTGTAGTTCACCTTCACGATCATATCATCATCGATCATCTGCGAAATACGAAACGTGTTTTCCGGACGCGTAAAGCTAAGTTGAACATCGCGACTTTCCATCGTTAATCGCTTTATTATACAAGAAATTGATTTACAAAACACATTAAAACTATATCACGAGTGCCCCAAGCTCAAAAGAAACCACTTCGATCTCGTCCAACGTTATTCCTCCTCTTCCATCCTTTCCGGGAACCCAATCTCCTCGTCCTTCCACATCTTTTTGTTCATGTAATTAATCTCCTCACTGTTCTCCTCCTGCAGCACCCAAGGCACGACGCTTCTGTCACCTTCAAAGTCCGTGGGCCAACCCAAACGGATCCTGTCCTTTGGACTTTCGAGCCAGCAGCCAGTTACCTCGACGAATTCGCAAACGGTAATTAAAATAATAATACCCATTAAACCTCCAAAAACGAAGTCCACACCCCGAATTTCGGCGTTTCGACTCATCCATTCTTTCCCAAACTTAATCCTGTGTTTCGCCACCAAACTGCCAGCGCCTCCGGTCGAGACGATAACCTTCTACTTCAACTTCAACTTTAACTTTATTTAAACACGGTACTATTTCACAGTATATTAAAATATAGTATTAACAAAAACAACCAGAAAAAAGTGATCTTCCAATAAGCCGTGTGCTAACTACTATAAATATAAAAAATTTTATAACTTAACATTATATCAATCTACATTGTTTTAGCCAACTCTTAAAAGTTGCTACACTTCCTAGCGACTTCAGGTCAATTGGGAGAGCATTCCATGTCTCCGCACCTCTGTAGGCCAATGATTTTTTCATAGCATTAGTATTTGGCATTGGTAATGTATAATTAAATTCTGTATGCCTACTGTTATGATTATGCACTTCTTGTGTATTGATGAAAATATCCTGCAGGTAGTTTGGAACCATTTTATGTTTAATCTTATACTTTAATGTAGCAAGTTGTTGTTCCCTTCTTGTTTGCAGATCTGAAAATCCTGCCTTGATTAGAATATCTTTTGATCGCGTTTCATATCCTTCACGGGTAATAATACGAAACGCTCTATTTTGTAGACGCTGAAGTTTATCTGATAAAACCTTTCCTAGGTAACCCCAAACTTGCGAGCAATAATCAAAGTGTGTTTGGATTATTGATTTATAAACAGTTATTAAAGTGATTTTTTCTGTGT